ACCTAAAATTAACCATTTTTAGAAAATGTAGGAAATTCACGTCAACATGTTCCAAAGCCTAAAATTACCTAATATTCACCATGGACATCCTACCCCTGATCCCATTACCTAAACTTAACCATTAATCCTGATCCCTCATGTTAACCTCAGACCCCCGACCCAAAGACCCCTGGTGGCGCAACCCGGAAAAGCCGCGGGTGGCAAGGACTGACGCGAGGGGGTCACCTGATGCGTCAAAATAAGACGCAGAGGGAACTTTGGAAAAGCGTCAATATGTGACGAGTCGGGAGTGAGAATGTGTAGCTGCATCAGCAAAAGTGAGAAACAGGTGAAGTTTAGAGATATTTCAAAGATGGAAGAAACAGGTTTTAAATAAGTAAGATTAGAGTCCATTCTCATTCCAGGATTTGTAATAGAGGTGGAGAGGGAAATGCCTTGTCCAGAGAATGAAATAGTCGTTATAGTTGATGTTTGAATCTGGTGAGGGGTGTGGATCAGATCAGATCCTTAGTTTCAGAGCAGTTTAACTGAAGAAAGTTCTGACTCTTCCATGCTCCTCCAGGCAGGTAGTGAGGGCAGTGAGTGAAGATGGAGATGACAATAAATGATAAATGGACTGTACTTGTATAGTTGGTTTCTACCCAACCAGGACAGTCAAAGCTCTTCACACTACAATGTGTGTCCTCATTTACACAGCACTCTACTAGATCTCTACAAAGCTGATATGTACAATCATCAGTGGAGATTAATCAGTGCCAATCACGTTCATACACTGATGGGATACACATCAGAGACATTAGGACACAACAACTGAGACAGCTGGAACGGGGGATCGAACCAGTGACCTTCCGTTTCCAGGACACCTCCCCTAACCACTCTGCCACAGCCATCCATCAATAGTGATGATGATGCTCCGGTCCTGATGTAAAGCTGTGTATCATCAGCATAACAGTGAAAAAAACCTAAAGGCAGCATGTAAAGGAAAAACAGCAGGGGCCCAAGAACTGACCCTTGAGGGACACCACAGGTGGCAGACAGTCTGAGACTTGGCATTACCTAATAACATATTCCAGCCTATTGCAGAGAAAAGATTTAACACTAGAACTACCCGAGAGGGGCCAAGTGAGAATCTTCCTCTAAGTACCAGAGAGGGGCCAAGTGGCTCCTCCTTGAGAGGGTGTGAAAAGGCGCTTTTGTTCTGTAAATAAGGCCATTACTGACCCACCACAATAGGGGGGCGCAAAGGTGAACTGTGCTGTGGTAGGGACAAATACAGGAAATCTTTCCTGCCTCATGCCATCTCACTCTACAATAAAAGTTAAATCATTGTTCTTCACTAATCAGGTTGTTGTTGATTGTCTTGTCTCTATTCTCTATGCTGCAACAGCAAAGTAATTTCCCTGCTTATATAATATAAAGATTATTTATATTAAATTTAGCTTTGTTTTATTTTAGCAAAAAAGCACAATGAATTATTTTTAATATTTTAAATGGAGAATTAGAAATTTTACAGACAGGTACCAGAAGTATTTATGTCTGGGCTGGGTTGGCAGAAGAAACAAAAACTGGTTCGGTGAGTTTGGCTCTCCCTCCCCTGCTGGTCCCTCAG